AATAAAGTTTGGTATATTACAACAATATACCTTATTTTAATTTTACTAAAGATTTCCTTTTTTTCCTTCTTTCGTCTTCCTACTTCAAGTAAATCATTCGATCGTAGGTGAAAGGAGGCGAGCAAGCAAGTTGATCCTCTTACGAGGCGTCGTCGGCGTACCTCATCGACGAGGATCTTGGAGCAATTGAAGCAGACGCAGCGCGTGATAAGTAGCACCGTCTTGAGGAACCCGATGTGGAACATGGGCTTGGCAAGCTCGAGGTGGCCGAAGTGGCCGGGGCACTCCGCCATGTTGCCCTTGCAGGTCTCGCAGCTCATCCTCCGGTTCACCGTCCCGAGTCGCGGGTCGCTGAGCCCCCCGAGCTTGGGCTTCCCCCGCTCCGTCGTCGCGCCATGCACGATCTGCACCACCGACATATGCCGCTGCCACACCACACCCGAGCGACACCGAGGTCAATAAACCAGGGAATCCGAGCATCGACGGAACCCTTAATCGAGAAAAGATGAGGTTCGAGGGGATTACAATTTCTTCGGGGCTGAGGATCCCGAACTGTACGGCGCCGACCTTGGCGACGTTGGCCGGGGAGTAAGGGAATCGCATGTCCATGGCTGGAAATCGTGGGAGAAACCACAGTTTCGAGCCAAAAAAATATATTAGGGTATTTAGCGAGCGAGAGAAGGACTCCTGGAGTTGGAATTCCTGCGAGAATAGATAGTTGGATCTCTCCCTTGTCGCCGAGAGGATGGTAAGCGAAACGAGAAATGGAGGGGATGATGCGGTATTTATAGACGGACTCGTGATGGTCGAGGGGGACCGTCCAACGCGCGGGGCAGTCGACGTGGACGTCAATCTTGAGGATATTATTTGAATATGAGGATTTTATTTTTATTTTTTTATTTATTTATTGAATCGAAAATAAAATATGATAAATAACTTTAATTGGAAAGGTATTATGAGTGCACTTCTACATGAAATAAATAGTTTAATGTTCCAAATTGGGGTGGGCTGGGGTGGGTACCACAAAAGTGTTTGGTTATAATTATTTCATATGGATGCCTAATAGGCTGTATGTGTTCGTTGCTTACCTCTTAAAATTAGAGCAACTTACCCACAAAGTCTTCCCTTCCTATTAGAATTTATATCGATGCACTATAATGCTTAAAAAGCCCTGTGACTTGATTCATTGAATCGCCGGTCTAAATGAATCTAATTGGACTTAATATTTTTTTAACATAGGAGACAAATATGGTATAATTATAATGATTCTATTTTTTTATTTTATGTGATTTTAGTATTTTTAAGTTAAATGCTATAGGAGATGTTAGATGCTTCCCTAATTGGCTAGGGGCTACTCTAATTCTAGTCCTAGGATTGGGATTGCGTTGAAGTCATAGATGTTTAGGACCTTTCTTATAAGGTCAGCATACAACATTCTTCTACTTTAAGTAGGAGTGTGCCTCCCTTGTTTATTAGCTATTCTTATTTGAGTGAGAATTATCCTAATTATAGTTATGCTAGGATTAGGATATGTAAATTATTATAATATAGGCTTTGCTTGATTGAATAATATCTAAGACTTTAAAAGGTCATTGGATTAAGATCGATCATACTGATTGAGTAACGTTGAGATCATTGCTTATCATATTATAAAAATATAACCTTAATGTTATCCTTAAGAGTTTTATTTTTTTTTCTTTTTAAGCAATCAAATATTTGAGAGTTTTAAGACCTATTAAAATCCTAAAAATTATTTTATAATATTTTTTATTAAAAATAATCTAAAATATGATGATATTCAATCTTTTTTTAGAATTAATATAAAAATCATTTTATAATAATTTTGGCTCATTAAAAAAAATCTAAAATATGATGATATTCAATCTTTTTTTAGAATTAATATAAAAATCATTTTACAATAATTTTGGCTCATTAAAAAACTTATTTTTTTTTTTTTCTGATCCTAGTGTAGCCTGCCTTTTTAGTCTTGCATTATAGAAATAGATGCTTTGTCTTAGTCTTAAGCCGCTTAAGTATATTTCGTATTAGATGATCATCTTTTTTATTTTCTCTTTTTTTTTTTTAATTATTATAGTATAAGAAATTGCATTCTCTTCGTATTCAAATTTTAGCTTGGCGTCGAGACAGTTTTCCTATATTTTATTCAGATTTTGACTCTCACTTAGTGTCTATCCCTTTGGTTCATTTTTATTCATTCAAATCCTATTTTGACCGATTCGATCTTTTTTTTTTTTTTAATATTTTGAACTTATTTAGATAAGATCTTATCCACTATCAAAGATTAACATATATTAAATTAAATATCAATTTAATTTAGAAACTTAAATTATTCGATCGTGGATCAATCACAACTCCCTCGATCCCCACTATTTCTCTTTTGTCTCACATACCCAAAAATCTTGACCTTTAATACCCAAAGTTTTTGCTTTTACTAATTAATTACATGTTATCGGATAAAGTCGTACGCGAAGGAAGGTGGTGGACTCACCCGTCTGCTGACGCTTCATCGCAATGCTGTGCGGAGCAAATCGGAGGAAGCAGATACTACAAGTCTCCATCCGATTAGTTGTCAGGTTTTGGAGTCATCTCCTACGGATGAGTTCATCTTGTTGCCTATACTAATGTAATTGTTGGTTTCCGGGGGCGGCCGGCGGCAGACTGCAGCAGCCGAGCCCACACGATCGGATCATGGCTTCCTCCTGCTCGGACTTCTCGGTCGGCTTTGTTGATCTTTGATGCTTCTTGGTCTTATGCTCTTTGGACACTTGGGATGCCCAGCTAGCTAGCTCTGAAAGATCCGAGTTTATATCGGATTCGGATAGCTTTTGGGTTTTTATTTATTTATTTATTTATTTATTTATTTATTTATTTGATTTGAGATGAGTCCACGTAAGAAAATAGGTATCTGAGTCGGATTTACTGTATCACGTGGACATCAAATCAAATCAAATCGATGTGACGCGGCACTAGATCGTTTTGCCACTTGCCGTAGGTCGTGGCATGAGAGCTCGGTGACCACAATTATGCGTCGAGACGTCGACCGGTGATCTTATTATGGTCACTTCATCATCAAGGCCTAGAAATCTAGCTTAAATGTTCTTGCATCTTTGGATTTGGTCGAAAGAAGTGGGCTACGTTGGATTAGAAGACTCGGTAAAATTCCAATTAGCGGATGCTATAGCGCTGTTGGTGATCACGAAATCGAAGCCAGCATTGCTGCTAGATACGGACAAAAGGGATGGATCCCATGTGCTCTGTTTCTTAAAGATTGGTGATAAGATTCTTCCAACTGGTCGGTCGTCGTTTACGGCCCTCTCCTCCGCGGTCGAGCCACTGCCCGCCATGGAACAAGACAAAAGCACGAGCTGGCCTTCCCCCCCGGTCTTCAAAGTCCCGACCCAGTGCAGCGAGAAGCCCGAGGCGGAGTCTCCATGGGCGCCCCCAGGCCCGCAGCCAAAGCACCTCCGAACAGGAAGTCCACCACCCTCCGTTGCCTCTTCGACCTGGACGCCGTCGCCCACGACGCCCCCCTGCCGCCCCCATCCGCTGATGCCGAGGTCGACGAGCTTCTTTCCTCGATATCCCGCTGCGCCGACCCGACGTTGGAGTCGCCGTCGCAGCAGCAGGAGGTCAAGCGCCAGCAGCTGTCCCGCGTGCTCTCCGCCGTCCGGGGCGCCACGCGGCCGCTCGACGACACGGTGTGGCCTCCCCTCGTCTTCATGCTCTCCGCCAACCTCTTCCGCCCGCTGCCCCCGCCGGCGAGCCCCTGCTTGCCGCCGGACCTGTACGAGGAGGACGGCCTCGCGATGAGCCTTGCCCCCTCGTGGCCGCACCTGCACATCGTCTACGACATCCTGGCGGCGCTGGTGGGAGGCGCCGACGCCAAGGTCCTCCGCAGGCACCTCGACCGCGCCTTCCTCCGCGGCCTCCTCGCTCTGTTCCAGTCCGAGGACCCGCGGGAGCGCAACCGCCTCAAGAACGTGTTCCACGAGCTCTACTCCAAGCTCGCCTCCGACCGCTCCTTCTTGCGGAAGTCCATGAACAACGTGCTCCTCCGCTACGTGTTCGACGGGGAGCGGCATTACGGCATCGGGGAGCTGCTGGAGATATGGGGCAGCATCATCAACGGGTTCGCCGTGCCGCTCAAGGAGGAGCACAGGCTGTTCCTGACGAGGGTGCTGCTGCCGCTGCACAAACCCAGGGGGATCGGCGCCTACCACCGGCAGCTGTCCTATTGCGTGACCCAGTTCGTGCACAAGGAGCCGGGCCTCGGGGAGGAGGTGGTGAAGGGCATCTTGAAGCGTTGGCCTGTCACCAATTGCCAGAAAGAGGTGCTGCTTCTCGGGGAGCTGGAGGACCTGTTGGAGAGCTTGGATCCCCCGCAGTTCGAGAGGCTGGCGCCGCCGCTCTGCGCTCGGATCGCCCGGTGCTCAAACAGCGCTAGCTCTCAGGTGATGATGCCCTGTTGCCTTGTTGTTCTAAAGACAATAATAGCTCAACATCCTGCAATTACGATAATAGTATCTCAATATCCGTAGTTGTGTCCTTTCCTTCCTGACATCTTAAGCTTGGGGATTACCGGTAACCCAATCAGGAAGGTATCAGAGTAAATCATGAGTCTAAAACTCGAATCCGCCTCTCTTTTTCGTATGGTATTTGATTAACATTCTTGCGACGCCATTCTCTTTAATTAGTCCTGATCTGGCTTGCGTGTGAGAGAGGATGTTAGAGTTCGATATACGTCTGGAAAGTAGCAGTCACTATGAATCTTAGGCATCCAAATCCTTTGGCGTGACAACTATGAGTTCTAGACATCTACCATCCTTCCCTCCACCGAAGAAGAAGAAGAAGAAGTAATTCCGCTTTTTCGCGAATGGATAGTTTAATCATGGTATGATAGAGTAGAACCATCATGTATGCCTTGTCATCTCTGCTTCCAATGAAATGTTCATCTGCTGCAATTTTCACTGATTTCATCATACGCCATTAGTTCGATGAATTATCTTCCTTCACTAAATAATTTATTGAACAATTATCCACAATCGGACTGATGTTGACTCCTGATCGATGTGCTTAGTGCATTAGTCAAAGTTCAAACCTTAAGATCTAAACTCTGGAGCACTTCAAAATGCCACATTTCACCGGGAGAGTAAAATGTGGCATTTTCTTTTTTCCGATAATAATTGTGGGTGCGATCTTCGTATACTGTTAGGAACAACGATAGACAAATATCACCATGAAAGTGAACCATGAACTTAGTGGTTTAATCGTGGTATGATATAATAGAATCATGATTTATGCCTTGTCATCTCTGCTTTAGAACCTTCCAATGGAAGGTTCATCTGCAGCAATTTTCATTGATTTCCTTGAACTGTTACGGTAGTATACGATAAATGGACTTTTGTTGATTCCTGATGGATTTACCAAGCACATTGGTCAGAGCACCCAATTTTTCTTTCTGATGACAATTGTGCAAACCTGAACTGAGACTTTTACGTCGATTCTTTTGTTTCCTACAATAAATCTATAAATTTTTACTTGTTCAGGTAGCAGAAAGAGCGTTGTACGTATGGAACAGCGAACGGTTTGTGAAGATGGCATCACAGTCCTGGGAACAAGTTCTTCCCGGCATAGTTGAGTGCATTGAGAGGAACCTGAGATGGCACTGGAGCAAGTCGGTGCAGCACCTGACTACATCTGTGAAGAGCATGCTCGAGGAAATGGAGCCGGTGTTGTACTCCAGATATCAACTTGAGCTTGACCACAAGGAATCAGTGATGATCCAGGAAGAGACCAAGAGGAAGATAAGGTGGGAGAGGCTGGAGATGGCTGGCTGCTCAAGGTTAACAAATCAAACCTAATGCTCCATGTTTGTGCAGGTGTATATATACTTGATGATTCTAAAGATACAGAGAAGCTTAACTTTTGTTCTTTGTTTCTTCTGATTTTTGAGGTCACATGATGAGAGGAAGTCAACTCAAACATTTACATCTCTCTCTGAAGTCAGTAGTAGTAACTTATTGTGAACATACCTCCTGTTTCAGTCTGAAGCTGTCACCAAAATCAACACTGGTGTTCCTAAACATCAAGGTGTGCCAAACTTGTGACCAACTAAGGAAATGTGGAGCATATGTTTTCTTGATTCTTTTCTCTTCCTGTAATAGATTCTTGGAGTTGGAACTGTCTATAGTCTCTCTTTCTCTCTCTCTTGCATCTTGGCTGGATTTTGGTCATCATTTGTCCTTGTTCTACTATGAGAATTGGAAATCTACAGAATGTGGGTGTGATGTGTAATTGCTTCTCGTGGTCCAAAGGTGGTGTCTCAGAGGGAACACACCTCTTTGAAAGATTCATGAACACACCGTCTCAAACTTATGGCCCATCAATTATGCAACTATATACTAACCGCTAGAACATCTCGATAGAGAAATACATAACGAACCAAAATTTTTATTATTTATGTCAAAATTAATTTTTAAAATTAAAATTTTATTTTATTTTATTAAATTGGATAATCATTGTAACGGCTTTCATGAAATAACATGTCTCTTGGATTCCTTTCTTAGGGCACTATTTAGACCCTATAAATAGAGTCCAAAAATAATCTCAATATATTTATTTAGATAATAATATGATTTTTTAAATATATATATATTTTATTTTGATTTGTTGAACATTGGTATGACTTGCATTTATCATTTCCAGAATAATCCAGAGATGCATCATGAGGCAGCATTAACATGAGATATCAGATGCATCTTCTAAAAGTTACTGTGGGTGAAATCAAAATGCCAGAAAAGAACAAAAAGTTTTGGTGTCAAAAAACATGATGTGCTGTAAATTTTGAAAAGCCTGGAGATTGATTGAGGCATAAGTTGATGTAGGGATTTTATATGGAAGGATGATTCAATGTGTGTGGCTATATATATTGCTCATTATATGTACAGGTGCAGATGTCATGTCACCAAACAGAACAAAGCCGTAAATGGATTAGTCCATTTAAAGAAGCAACTTTTGGGATGAACTCCACAACAACATTATCAATAAGAGAAAAATCTAAGTTGCCAGGGAAAAAAAATGTAATGGAATGCACATCCAGAAATCCATGACAACCTAATCCAAGAAATTGTCGAGGACAAGAAACACTGCACAGCCAGGCAAGTTTGCATCAATAACCCACATGGCTAGAGAGAGAAACAGAGAATGACTGTACATGATAACAAAAGGGGTTATTTTCTGCATAAAACCTTTTACAATAACACAACATCAATGGGTTGGGCATCCAACAAGTTCAAGCAACAACCAAAGCCAATAAGTCATTCAGAGAATAAAGAGATCTATGGTAGACAACCTTGGCACCTGTGGCGACAGAATTAGAAAACAGCATGATACAAAAGGAGGTAATTTCTGCACCAGGCGCACATAATAGAACAGATATAAATCAGTTGTGTCCACCATTTCAGTCATCGAGGACATGATCATGGAAGTGGTCTTGAAGCTTTAATTTAGTACACAAGATAACAAGGAGTGGCCTGACTGGATCATGAGGCACGGGGCTCGGAGGGCGTCGTACAGGGGGCAAGAGAGTTAGGAGCAGGGGCAAACCCACCCCCTCTTACAGACAAAGTCGGGCCTCTGTGTGAGCTGGCCCTGCTAACAAGATTGTCATCGAGGAACACAACGATCACGGTGATGTCATCATGGAAATGACGACGAACCCCACGATCGATCTTCTTGAGGTCAGAGTATCTCATTTCCCTCTTCTTGGCTGCTTCCTGAAGTGCAGCTTTGATTAGACGCCGAGCACTCCCCTGCAGTTCATAGATATGAAACTAACCCATCACTGTGAAACCATGGCAACTACTGAGACATGCAAATGCGCTGCCGAAGTTTTATGTTAAAACCAAGAATGCTGATATAATATGCATTTACTTCAAAATTCACTGACCCATTTTGTGGGCCAACTAACCCATCACTGTGAAACCATGGCACCTACTGAGACATGCAAATGCGCTGCCTAAGTTTTATGTTAAAACCAAGAATGCTGATATAGTATGGCATTTACTTCAAAATTCACTGACCCATTTTGTGGGCCAACAAAGATCTCTGAGTCAAATGCGAGAAGAATGGTAACATCATTACATACTCCAAGTACAATTTCTGTATTTCCCAGATATGACCAACATCTGAAGTTTTGGTTGGATCAGACCATAATGCCTGGTGTATACTTGTCCAACCATGAGACAGTACATGAATCAGATGAAATTGCTCGGTCCAAGTTCATACTGGGGTATATATATCAAGTTGTTACCACAGGTATATTGCTCAATGCCTAAAACCTCCTCATCAGAAACCACTCTTCTCATCTGATTCCCCTTTTCCTCTTACCTTTTTCTCCATCAGGAGCTTGTTTCCTCTCTTCTATTTTTCTTTATTTTTTTTCTCCAGGTTTCTCCCTTTTAGCATCAAATTTCTCGAACTGCTTAAATTTAAAGCCTTTTATCTCCTTGCTACAAGATGTATTTCTTGAGAAGGAATTTAGTGTCTCTCTATTAAAGTAAATTTAAAGCTTGGCACCATGTTCATTTGCTTAATTTTCTTCCTTAAGAGTGGTATTTTGCTTGATGGCTTAAGTTTCTAGTTTCATGCTTGCATTGATCTATTAAGGGCAGTTCTATGCATATTTTGCATAGATCTATTTGAATCTAAGCTGGCACCACATGTTGGCCTTGTGAGGATCCTCGCTAGGTTGGAAGAGACTTGGCCAAGATTTGCACTCATTTGCTCAAGATCAAAATCTCCAACGAAGATTGGTGTAAATCTAACCCTAAATTCGAAATCTCCACTGAAGATTGGTGAACATAGGTTAGATTGCATATCCAGCTAAGATCCACAAAAACCATCCAGATTGATGTGGTTCTACCTAAGCACTCACAAATTCCACTCCATACCCGCATATATCTAAGCAGTTCCACACAGATTAGTCTAAGACTCAGTAGATTAGGCCTAAATCCTTGCATAACTAACCTAAGGACATGTGGATCTAATCAACATATATATATATATATATATATATATATATATATATATATATATATATATATATATATATATATATATATACATACATATATATATATGCCGATCTAACAAAGATTCCTCTAAATGTAGGCTAGATGCTTTGAACACCATCTGGACTTCTGAGGATCTATGATAGATTTAGGTTTTTAACTCTCATTTTAAATACTGTTTTTAATATTAATTGGGAAATAATATCAAAATAGCTTCAGAAAATTACAATGGGAACACTATCTTCCACAAGTCCATCAATACATCAGATCAGATTCATGATGCAATCTGATGGAGTTGAGATTGGAGAAAGTCATAGTTTAGATAGTGATAACTGACATTTATTTCAGGAGGGTCATTTAACAACTGATGGACACACATTTGCATCTTTTCTGGACACCATGTGCTGCACATCTATGGGTTTGATAATGGACATTAGTGACATTCCAATGTTGATGAAGACATTGACACAAGGCACAGTTAATCATCCATTTAAGAGAAAGACTGCACTCAAGGTTATGTTTGAGACTGAGTGACTGGTCTAAATCTAGTTTTATGAGCTCAGGTGGCAAAAGATAGTTGATGACATCAAGGAGATGATCAGAAACATATATCAAGGCAGATAGGACTTTCCAATGGTTATAGCCCTCGTACCAACATACAATTGATCGCAATTTACCAAGTCCAAGGTTTTGTATGGCTTAGACCCACAACTGCAACATGTTCATGGCAGTTATACTGTTCTGGAGCTTAACAACCATTATTGGAGTTACAGCCCATACAATATACACAAGCAAGAGTGCAGGAGTGCCAACTGTGACAATGGTGTAGGCACCAACTGCCATTTAATGATCACTTCTCAATCCAGAATTGGCACATGGTATATTGACACCAAAAGTCATGAGTATCATGAGTTTTTTGAAAAGCGTAAGTGGTGAAGGCGGGATTTGAGTCCAGGACCTTGCGATAAACTATCAATATCCTTACCAACCAAGCTAGCTAACACCTTCATGAGTATTATGAGTTGGTTTTACACCAGAATTGGCACATGGTATATTGACACCAAAAGTCATGAGTATCATGAGTTTTTTGAAAAGGGTAAGTGGCGAAGGCGGGATTTGAGTCCAGGACTTTGCGATAAACTATCAAGATACTTACCAACCAAGCTAGCTAATACCTTCATGAGTATTATGAGTTGGTTTTACAAAATTATGACCTCGATATTGGGCCACGACCACCTCTTGAGCACCACAACATTCATTTTGGTATTACATGAGGCTTAGGACTTATATGGTATGCCTTGCACCCATGTTTCAGCATTTATAAATATACATATCATCGAATATATATCACGTGCTATCTATATGGACTTGTGGAAATTTTTTGTACATGTGATTTTGATATGCGATTTGTAATGACTAAGAACTATATTTTGATTCATTATTGAGACAAGAAATGTATAATTTAATAGGATGTCGACCAGTATTGAACCATACCAGCACATGTTCATTGTTACTGGTACTATATTAATCTGGTCGATAATTGGTATTATCACATGTTGACTTGAATTGGTTCCAGGCTGAGATTTTATGCCTTGGATATGACAATAAATCAACTAATTTGCATGGCTTGATGATAAACAAAATAAAGTTTGTATGAGATGGATCCACTTTCTCTGGCTTAAGCATTATTAACTTTTCATTTTATGCAGGCCCTCAAATATGGTTGAACTAAATATTCAATCCAAACGTGGATCAAAAGGATAGCTTTTGCATCAAAAGAACATATCCTTGAGTACATGCCAATGCTTCTTTAAAGAACCTACAAATTGGGATAAAAGGTTCAGAATGAGATATCCATACTATCAATCAACAATGTTGGAGATTTGTGTTTCTCAATCTATCACTGTCAAAAAAACAGGAAGGAACCTTTTTTTTTACTGCTACGTATGGAAGATGGCATAAGAAAGGTTTCAGGTTTCAACATCTACCCTGCAAGTTCAAACAGGCAAAAGAAAATAAGATTTGAGAGCATGATGTTCTCAAATATCTCATCCATGGATTCTGAAAACACCAACAACCTCATAGCATCAATGTCTAAATTTGCATGTCATTCTTTAGTTATTAGACAATGCAACTTGATATAAAACTTCAATGCCTTTGAAGTTATTCATAGTTGCCATGATCTTTGTCCGCTTTAGAGTTTTTGACATTATCTAGTGCAAATAGCTAACTAACTCTTCAACTTAACCTTCAAATCTTGAACTCTTTCATAAGTACTTTAGTTAAAAATTTGCCACAAATTTATTGACCCCATGTGCATGGAAGGAGCAAAGAGTTTTTTTTTTCTAGGATTCAATAGTTGTTAACGGAGAACATAAAGTTTTAAATAAAATAAAATTGAAAAATGATAACTACCCGACTCACTCCAACTAAAAAAGGGACTCAATAGAATCATATCGTTGATAAAGATAATGTAATCTCAAACAACCCACACATACATAATGTGAGAAAAGATATATCTTCCATTTATTCAGCAATCTATCATGTTCTAGTAACGGTCCCATTTCCTCTTTTCAAGACCCCCCAAGTATAAGATAAAAAGAAAAATACAAATATCATGAAGAATACAATAAAGAAAATTGCATTTAATAAGTCAAAATATATCAATCATGCCATTTTTTCTTCTTCAAGAATATATATCTTTAAGTTTTTTCGATATCATCAACAGGCCTCCATTTTTGTGAAGGAACTTCCTTTTAGAGATAAAATCTTCAATCAAATTGAATACTTCTTTTTCCTTTTTAATCTTTAATCAAACCTAAGATTTTTCATTTTCCTTTTATCTGGAAACCTTTTGTATTCTCCTTGGGCAATCTTAGTAACTACTTATAACATTTGCAAAAGATTCCCTAACTAATAAAATTCATCCAGAAGACCTCTGTCCAATTCACAATTCCAGCATGGATTAGCCAATTTTGTCCAAGTCTGACTTATCTTTAGTGGTAGGACTGAGAAGCCAAAAAAGCAAATCAGCCTTGGTGAATATTAATCTGGGTTGGCCAAACTGGATTTAGATTAGCTGATCTGGCAAACTTGCTCTTCCCATAATATTTATGCATCAATTCTTAGCTGCTTGCACAAGTCAGATTTTCAGGCCAAGGATCATATGCAAATTTATCCAAGGTTGGGACAACTCCTTGTCTCTATTGAATTGTTTAACACATTTCCCAACCTTACATGTCCAACCACTTTCTAATTTGATTCTATGTGTAAACTCAATAACTTGAATCATAAAATGCATCACTTAATTTTCCAAAATGAAATAGAAAGAGAAAAATTCATTGCTTAAAATGATTTTATTTTGTATTAGAAAAACAATGGCCACTTATGGACTCTATTTAAAAAATGATAAAATAGTATAAAGATAGAAAACATACACTGTGAGGACCATTATGAACAATATCCACTGCTTCTTGGTTGCTAAGATGCTCCCAGAGGCCATCAGACGCAAATATAAGAAACTGATCTTGTGGTTGCAGCAGTTGCACAGAAATCGATGGCTCTGAGCTGAGTATAGGTTTTTTGAAAGGTTCACGAAGTCGAAACTTCGCATATAGTGGTTCCCGGTTAAATTCCGCCTTCTTTAGGTATACATCACCAATCGACCTAGAGACCTGCAAGATAGATGTATTTGATTAGTAATAAGCCACAAAGATACAAGAAGCTAAATCTAGAGATTGTTCTTTATAAGTGAATAAGTGAGACTAAATATTAATATATAAAGAATCTGTAATTTGCAATAGATATGCCAGTTAGACTAAATATTAAGAATCAGTAAGAAGCAATAGATACATAAATAATGTACCATGGTTGGAACATTCATTTAAACAACTTAAGGGGTGCATGAAGATGATTATTAGTGTGATGGTGGTGAACCTCAAGGTATAGAGCAGGTATTTAGTGAGCAAAGATTTGAAATTGGGCTATCTACAGTGGACTAGCATTTGATAATCACACATCACATGTTCCCTTATATGTCTGCTATAGCAAAATTTGCAAAAATGTAAGAAGGGCCTACCAAGGGTATAGAACTTAGTTTCCTTCAGTTCCAGTCAAGACCACCAAGTTTTGGTTTCAGCAGTTTCAGATCAAGTTTCTATTAGAATGAAAAATTTAACTAAACAAGGCATAATGTGCTATCTGGATTCTTTTTTTTATAGATCACAGCTACTTTTGAATTACAATTTGTACTCTATGAATGATGCAAAGTATAATATATGGGAAAATTAATAGCAGTGATCAACACTACCTGTATTTTCAACACAGTTTTGTGGGAAAAATCAATTTACACCATTCAATATTTTTCTCTACATGAAAAAAAGTATAATAAAACATGCATCTTCTGATATTCCAGTTTGTCAAGATTTGTAACCATAAAAAGAAAGCAGACCATCGATTACATAGTCACTTGCAGTTTGTTATGAAACCTTTGATGAGATAAAATTTGCATACTTGACAAATTGACAAGGACAATTGTCTTCAAACCAGCGATTTAAAAAGGCGCTCGGGCAAGGCGAGGCGAGGCCCGAGCGCCTCGCTAATCTTCCAGGTGGCGCGCTTCAAAGAGGCGCCGCCTGGGCGCTCGCCCGAGCCCAGGCGTTAGGCGCTTCGGGCGAGCGCCTGGGTTAACCAAGGCGACCGAACCAGGATTTTAGGTCTGGTTCGGTCCTGGTTCAGTCTCCGATGGTTAGTTGGTTCAATCGAACCAACTAAAACCGATATCAGTGACAACCCAACCCTAACCCTCGTTGCCGCTCCCGATCCCGCTGCTCGCCGTTGTTGCTGCTCGCAAACGCTGCCGTTGTCGCCAACGCTGCCGCCGCTCGCGCCTCCCGCTGCCGCTATCGCTGCTCGCAAACGCTGCCGCTGTCGCCGCTCGCGCCTCCCGTTGCTCGCCGCTCCCGCTCCTGCTCCTGCTCCTGCTCCCGTTGCCGCTGCTCGCCGCTCCCGCTCCCGCTGTCACGGCTGCCACTGCCGCTACCTCCTTACACTCCACTGCCACTGTCGCTTCCTCTTTTCTCAGTCAGCAGGCTCAGCACCCCCTTACACTTCATTCTTCTCCTTCTGTTAACAGTATACAGTATACAATTAACAGTATACTGTATACTGTTAATATTATTAGATTTATTTGAAATTATTAATTTTCAATACTGTTAATAGATTAATAATATATTATTTTGATTTTAATACTGTTAATTTTTATTTATTTAAAATTATTGTTAGGTTTCAAGATAAATAGCAAGTGTACAGAACAACTCAGTAGAGTCTCCAATGACATCAAAAAAAGATTCAATGAAGATGATTTATGTGAAAATAACGATAATATTGATTATGATGAATGACTTTGATATAAAATTTTATTGTTTTGAATTTTGAAACTTTTTGTTAATGTGACATTGTGATTTTGTATATTAGATTTTCTTAATTTAATAGCATATTTTAATTTAAAATTTTAAATAATTATATTTATTAATTATATTATATATTTTTATATTTTAGCGTCTCGCTTCGCTCGGGCGAGCGTCTAGCGCCTCGAGAGTTTTTGGACCTTAGCGTCTTTTGGCGCCTAACGCTTTTTAAATCACTGCTTCAAACAAATAAAATAAATTGGGTGCATAACGAACTTAAAAGTAAGGTGAATGAAGAAGAAAATCCAACAAAACATGGTAGAATTGAGAAAATTACAAATAAATCTTGAATAAATTAGTAACTATCCTGATAAGCGTTAAGTCCACCAAAATGATGGACAGAAGGACCAAAATAAACAAAATACTGACAGAAAGTCCTCCATGACTAGTTCTATATGATTTTGGCAAAATCTGGGTGAAAACATTCAAAAATGACAAAAGCTAGTGGGCTGCTGATGAAACCAACCATATCAAGCCAAACAGGTGGACCCAAATGCCGTGTAGGTGCTAAATTGAACAGCCAAAACTTAAAACTATTTTATTAAAAACTAACAACAAACAACCTAAGATAGAGAAAAGAGTCAGCATGGTTGAACTAACTAAAAGGATAAATATAATTTGTTCAAATTAGTAAAAGTTTAAGAAAATTAAGCTTCATTTATCCAAAAATAATAATAATAAAAAGAAATCAATATTTAATAATTTGAGAGTACTTAAAGTCTTTACATCATCTAAAAGAGAATTAGAAAAATCTTTTTCCATCTTCCATCTGCCAATTCCTATTAAGAGTGATATCCTCAAGCAAGCAGAACTACCAAGTCATTTCTCATTCCATTTACAGAGGCTAAATGCAATTTTCATTTTTGATTCAACAGTTCATGAGATGCAACCCTCTCAAATTAGCAATGCATCAAGTAGAAAAGGTGGTGACTAGTGATGTGAATTTGACTAAAGTGGTTTGACAGAAAGTTCAGCAAAGACTATTTGACAAAGTATATTCATGTACCCTTTGAATGCCTTCAAGCATCCTGACTACAAATAAATGAGATCAACTGAAAATTTAAAACAGGTTTCCAGAGGAAGTTACAAATTTATGGCAGTCGTAAATTTGCTACAGATGCAATTTTAAGTTATATAATGGATGAAAAACAATATGTGCTTTAAATTGTTCAAGGTTGAAGAAAAGGAAAAATCAATTTAAATTCATTTGAAGGATAAGTGTTTATATTTAGACTGGAACAACCTCTATAAAGTGATTGGCTTCTACAATTATCGAAGATACTGATAACAGGTCGTAAAACTTATCTGTCAATAGAGAAGACAATGTCCAGATATTCATAGGTTAACCCTGGACATAACACATGTGAAAAGATGGCTCGAAACACAAATCAAAATATAGCCCTCTTAATCTACAAGTAAATAATGTTCTGGTCTCAAGATATATCCAAGAGTATCAGTTCATCTAAACATGAGAAGTCCTTAAGGCAACCAAGTAACAAAGCAATCAAGCAAAAACATTTTGAAACAAACTCGTTATCTCCTTCTTTAAGATACTAAATTATTACAATAATGATATATAAACGTGTACAGCCAAACCATTTAAAACAAAGAATTTCATTCATCCACCAGTTTCTTCTATGGAAGGATTTCATTTGATGTTTTGATGAGGAGAACCTACAAGCCAGCATGATTGGCTACTTAACAATTACTTTTTTCCCAGTGGATTAACAACCATTTTTCAGATCGAAGAAAAATAATTCAAATGCATGACCCTTTGTAAACTGCATGCAAGTTAAAGAATTAGAAGGTCCTGTTCTAGACATTCGATATGGAAAATCTGAAGAAGTATAAATACTAGGTGGTCTAAAACTTGTTTTCTCGTTCTTCAGTAAATTAACAAGATGATAAGTTTTATGTTTGAGCACCTGGATAAGGCCCTTCACACGCCAGACATTATGCTTTAAGACAACAATTTGCTTGTCTTCTGGGTGCATTGAATGCAACTCCTGTCTCACAGACTCAATTCCAGCATTATGCTCTGCTGACAACTGGACAGCCAAAACTTCTCCAGTTGCTTTTACAAGTTTCCCAAGAACAACACGGGAATCCCCAAGATTAGCTGTATATAGCATACTACCACAGATTACACCAACCAGACAGCACGAGCCAACAGCTGCAATCTGAGGTGTCATAGGCCATTGCTTGTTAACCAGAGAAAAAAAACCTTCCTCTGTAGCTTGATATGCCTTCCTTATTACATCAGCTGACATGGCCTGCTGTTCAGCTGCAAATCCTGCCAAAAGGTCTTTTATCACACACACTTATAAGAACAGTAGAATATTTGTGGACTGAGATATGGTGTGTTATATCTCGGATTTGTAACAAAGTGAAAGAAAGAAACCATAATTTCAGGGTCTGGAAACCCGGAAACAACACAATTTCACTAACAAAAAATAACATAAAATTTAAAACCTGAGCAACATGTCCAGTACTATAGAGAACAATAAAGGCAAGGGCAAAAAACATTTCACGGAGCTGCCAATTACAAACTAAAGCTTTGTTACATCTCACAGCTGGTTCCCAAGTCTAAAAGCTATCCATCCATTCAATTATTAGAACATGTTCTTTAATCAAGAGTATCATCCCAGTTGAATTGTATTCAACCAGTTACTCAAAAGTAGCAAGGTAGATGGTTTCTTAAAACAAAATAACTTTTTATCTTAGTGAACTTCATGTACCAATTCACCAAGTTACTGAGCTTAAAAAAAATGAATCAAACCGAAACCCCAAGATCTAAGCATGCAGTTTGGAAATTAAGAACTTACTTTTCAAATGCTGAAAGAGATGATCATTGATATAACGGGAGGTTTCTGGACCTCCATGGCCATCATACACACCCACGAAGGTACCATATGGCCCGGTATCAAGCAAGCTCAGTGGTCCAGACTCGATCTGGCTCTGGTCCTCAAGCAAGTTGTTTGCTTGCACCACGGCCATGGAGAACTCACCGTTTATGTGTTGTCCGCTGTCCTTGTACCACAGAAGCCCATCCTGCCGGCCTACGACCTCAGAGCCTGAGTGGACAGACCGATCCGATGGCTGCCAGCAGGCCCTCAGTAGGTTCATCAATGCCGCTAGCATCCCTCATCTCATCCAAGCTCGCCTTCTTAACATCTAATTTAATTCAGTTAGTATCCAACAAAGGGGAAAGAAACCAAATTTTCCGACTCTGCATCAAGAGAATTCACATAGATCGCATCAGTTACCAGATAAGAATGATTCGAAAGCAGCAGCAGGAGACTCCATCAAAAATCCAACTTTTCTTTCTTCATAAAGTCGGAAACTTTATTGCAAACAAGAATCAAAGAGGTCGAAAAAATCACTCTTTGACTACTTTAGTACGTTATGTCAGCAAAATATGATCATGAAATTTGCTCGTACAATAGGTCTCAAGTTCAGAGGCAAAAATCTAAAATCAGAGAAATCGATTACCTCCTCTCCAGATTCAACTCAACCCCCGACGGCGCGGCCGACAGAAAATCTCTCACCAAATTAGACAGAACCAAGTCCAGGATCAGCCTTTCGTGCGCTAACTCGAAGAAAAAAAACGATCTAACGACCCACGCGATCTTCTCACCAATCCTGACAACCGCATCTTCTCATCCATGCCGACCGCGGCCTCACGAGCGGAAGCGGAATAATTCCCAGAAAAGAATCGCCCGTCAGAAACGCCTCAAATCCGACGCGTCGCACACGAAAGGGCGGTCAAAAACACCTATTTAGGTCTAGGTTGGGCGATTAATTGTGCGGCAACCTCAGATCTGGAGATGACGAAACGATTCTTCTTAAAAGGATTGAAGAAGTGGGAAGATGTGAGGTTGGGTTTGGCTTCCAGGCAGGAGATTTGGAGGAAAAGAAGGCGTTTGATCTCTCCGACACCACTAGCAGACAAAGCCCCTCAGAAACCGACAAGAGAGAGGCCAACGCCAGCGAGGCACAGCGGCGGCGACGGGCTCCACCAACAGACCAGAAGAGAGAGAGAGAGAGGGAAGGAGTAGGGAGTACTGGGAGAGATGGGGAAGAGAGAGAAGCATTTAACGGGACTTGAGGGAAGTGACATCAGCAGATATTTGTACTATAGTCCCTAAAGAGATTACAAATGATAATTTTAGCCCAATAAGGCGTACGTATGACAATTTCATGCAAATACACCCCTGGTGACATGAGAATAGTCAAATAACCCCTAAAAGGATTTGTAGTTTTATGCAAATAAACCTATCTATCTATTACTCGATGGTATTAGACATTTTAGCTCATCGATTCCTTTTTTTTTTGTTTTTTTGGTGAGAATATTTTATGAGTGAATCCTAACAATTTTAGAATTATTATTCATATCTTTCTGGATTGGATTCAGACATTAGAATGAGATGTATTGTTACTCTTAACTGGCAAAATATTTTTATATTTTAATTTTTTATTTACTAGATTAGATTTTATGAGGAGACTAATAGAAAAATAAATATTTGATTCAGATTCAAGAAGAATTTGGATATTTAAATATTATCGAGGAACCGATGACTGTCCGCCTACAGGAAGATGCAGGGATTAAAAAAGATATCATTATATTCCTAAATCCATTCAAAGAATTAATATTTTTTTTTATTTTGATTAAAAAAATAATAAATATTTAAATATTAAAATCAATAAAAATTTCAAACTCCATAAAAACCATAAACTTATGTAAATAATAAATATTTAAATTAAATATTATGTATTTTAATAAATATATTAAATATAAATATTTACTATTAATAAAAATATAAATATAAATATTAATAAAATAAAAAAAATAAAAACTTGAACTGTTTAGGACAAAACATATTTTTGCTTTCCGGTGACTCACATGTGCTTGGTTCAAAGGAAAGCGTGGAGCATTCATTATTTTACACGTGTCGCAGGTGGGACCCAAGCATTAGACCTCTGCGACCACGCGTTTACTGGCCTTGCCATTTATTGCACGTGTCCCACTCTATCCAACACAGGGCTGCTATCATTTAGGAGCGGGCGCACCCATTACGGGTCCGAATTCAACTCTTTCGGGTACGGATCAACGTAATAGGATTCGTTAATTTAGTGGATCAAGTATGCATTCTCCATCCAAATTCGATGCTACTATATGACTATTAACTCATATGAAAGCATGACGGATGAGACTTGCCATTGTAGTGAACTTTCGAGGCCTTGTATTCATTTTTTATTCTTTGTAATTTTATATTCTTAATAAAATAAAAGAAAAGAAAAGAAGAAGGAAAGAAATGAGGTGGTCCTGATTTATTTCATGGCGATGTTTTTGACCAGGAGAGAGAGAGAGAGAGAGAGAGAGAGAGAGAGAGAGATATGCTCGATAATGATGAGGTGGGAGCCTTCTCAGAAGCCACTCAAACAACAACAGTGCATGAACTTGGACTCATCAATGCCATGTTATGAAGACACTTTGTCCTTTGCCCCTTCACCATCAATGCCATGCTCTCTCTCTCTCTCTCTCATGTCATTGTTAGGGTTGTGTGGTCTCATCCCCGCTTAGCTTGCTTGCTCTTGTCTTATGTTATTTAAATTTCTCTCACTAAGAGATCAATCTTCAATAATGAGTCATTGGGGAATGCTTCTTATGATGCCCGTAATAACCTTTTTGGCTGAGGTTTAACAGGGTTGATAAAAATTGATTTCAAGATGAATGGTGGGATGAAGCTCAATAGTCTGATAAAAGAAAAAGGCCAAAAAGATTATAAAAAATATATTGTTTAACTCCTTGTGACAATTTTAAATAAATTTAAAAAATATTATATTTTAACTATCAGACCAAAATTTTTTTAATAAAGGTCTCATGAAAAATACATAATGACAATGATTTATAATCAATCGAGACTCAAGATATAAAATTTACTTGGTCGAAAAACGAAGTGTCAATTGAGCATATCATATCAATACAGTATCTAAATATAATATTATTGGTTTGAGCGTTTAACTAGTCTTATTACACATGCTCTAAGAATCATTTAAATTAAAATTAGATAGTTGAACTTTTCTTAGATAAGAGAGAACTTTGCCTCCAACAAATCACCTCATGAGTTCAAGTCAAAACTCCTTCAATATCTACTCTGGTTAGACTGATGACTCAATCTTCTTGAGTTAATACTACTCTAACTAGGTTTGAAATATATATTATAGGAAAATAAAAAACATAAAACCCTTACGAATATGTTGAGAAGGAGACTCCTCTCCCAACCATCCACATAGTGGTTAGCCTCTTCTTATCCAAGAGAACATCCATACCAATCCAAGCTATGCACTTCTATCATTAACTCTTTAAACGTCATAAACTCTTTATTAATTGAGAATCCAACTATGATAACTATATTTACTTATCCCTTTTTCGAACTTAGTAAGTTTAGGCTTTAATTAGAATGACACAGATCATTATCCTTCTTCTCTCGCAACTTGCATAATTCATGACAGTTTTTAAGTTATACTCTCCTATCATCAACTCTTTAAAGATTATAGATTCTCCCCCAATCAAAAATTGAACTAGGATAGTTATACTTGTTGATCCCTTTCTCAAACTTAGTAGGTTTAGGCTTTGATTATAATGATACAAATCGTCATCCATCTTCTCTCATTGTATAATTCATAACAACATATCTCTCAATAGAAATAGTATACACTTTTATTACTTCTTGCCCATCTCATGTTTAACTTCATAAACATTATGGACAAGTGATGTATTTTAAATAACAATACAAGATCACCCATTGGGTGATCAAACGTAATCTTGTACAAGTATAAGACAAACCTCAAATATCTATTATTAAATTAAGTTTGATGAAAAAAATTAAAAAAAAGAAAGATGTGCGAATAAAAAAAATTATATGCTCATCAATTAGGTGGCCAATAAATGGTTAGACTCGAGTCAAAGTCAAATACTTGACACAATCTGATTAGGAAAAACTACTTGCTATTGAAAAAAACATACCTAATCTAGTTTTAGAAAAAAAATATATGTGACCCACTTTAGTGAAGTAAAAAAATTTTTATCCACTCTCGACTAAGATATACCCTATACACTCTTCGACAAGATATGTCCAACTCACTTTAATTATATGAAAATATCCTAAGAAGAATAATGTTCGATCTAATCCCAAATAAAAATTCATAATCAACTCTAGTTTGGCAAAGATATTTGGCCATTAACTCACTATAGTTAGGCATATAAGCTTGACTCGTTCAAATCGATTGATCTATCTTTATCGAGCAAAAATGCAAATACACTTCATATGTCTGTATATAGAACATAAGCATCAAGAGTGTTTAATGCACTCTAATCAAGAAAAGATCTCTTGAAATATTTGATGCATTTGCCTATGACAAAAGTATCTAAAGCGCCTAATATACATTAATTGGGTAGAACATATCACTATACCTAATTCATCCATCCATCTAATATGAAAACATTTGATAGAGTATATTTTGGTATCGCTCAATTGGCAGCCACCTTAGATCACGAGTGGTGCCATTCCGCCTAGCTAGCAGCCACCTCAAATCACGTATGGGGTTACTCCAGCCAAAATAGCATACACATCTCGAAGCAGGGCAAAACGACATAAAGATGATTATGTCTTGGAGCAACGTAGCTCGACTCAGAAACGACGCCACGTTTCAAGTCCGAAATGGTGCACTGTAAATCCACGTCAACTAAAATCAAGTGAGGTCAGCCATCAAAGATATAACCTCGCAAGGCATGGGCTTGGGAGGATAGCCTCAGAATAGACAAATTACCCGACGAAAATGTCGGCGGATGCCAACGAGCACAGGGGGAGTCGGGTCCTCGCGAAAGGTATAAAAATCACCCCTAGACAGATGTCAGGGGATAAGATTCATTATCCATAAAAATCTGATTTAAGCTTCGAAGGAGTCAAGTTGGAACTTCCCTCTCTATCGTTGACCTATTGTGCAAGGACTCGGGACTCGAAGCCCCTCGCAGATTCACTAAAAGAAGACCCTTTCTTTTTTAAATCTTCCTTCAGAGTAATCCCGTAGATGACCTTACACAATCGGGATCGAACCAAACTGTGTCCCTTCCCGAGCCATGACATAAAGAATCAAAATAATATTCAAAAGTGATTAACGTATCTTAATAGTCTAAAGATGCTCCTTATGCTTGATGCATCTCACCTAACACAAAAGTATCCACCTAATGGGATAAAGTGCACAATGCACCTTAACCTAGTAAGACATATTCTTGCATCTAATACATTCACCCAAGACAAAAGTATCCAAAGCCCATGATGCACTCTAATTTAATAATGAATCTTCTTTTGTCTAACATGTCTATTTTGGATAAAAATATTAAAACACTTGATGCATTCAAAAAAATATCTCCTACATTTATGTGTTTATCCAAAATAAAAAGTTACTCCCCATTACTATAAGCAGTTACAGAGTGCTTGACATGCCTTAAGTATATGTATCTCTCATGGTTGATACATCCATACAAAAGCTAATGATTTTGTATGGATACAAAACATAATTATTGAAATCTTGAGATAGACATTACATTTAGGTATGAATAAAACTTTACCCTAAAGCATAATAAAAGAATAAATGATATGATAATTATTTGTAACTAATACATATGGACACTAGTTAGCTAGAAAATAACATCCCAATTAGGCATGCCACATTAGCACAACAAATAAATGAAATAGTTCAACAATAATGCAATTATAGTATAATATCTCTAATTTCAAACACTCAAAACTTATTTAAAACTATCGAAATATCTTTAGTTTTTTTTATTCAATATGAACATATATTAATCTGAGCTTCATATGGACCTTAATTAGCTTGCTTCTAACATAAGTTTTATAGGAATTATCTGAATAAAAATTGATAGTTAATAAGTAATAAAATGTAATAAAAATTTAATTATATTAAAGTGTAAATATAAACATCCTTAAAGACAAGCTCTAGTTATATACATCTTTAGATCATATGTTAAGTTATAGCACCTTATTTGTTTTGGAAGTCCAATAAAACATACGTGAGCAGGCTTGAAAAAAATAAAAACATTGCAACAAAAATTCAAGAAACAATTCGGGCCGATTTGAGAGTTGTTTTCAAGATTAATATTTTAGAACAGGTTTTGAATTGTTTTCAAAATCAGTTTTGTTTTCTTAGAGAGAGGGGGGGGGAGGGAGAACTGAAAACAAGACAAATTTGTTTCAGTAAACAGCTACCAAAAAGCACTTTTCAGAAAACATTGTTAGTCTAACGGTTTTTGTTTTTGGAAATAAAAAATAAAAACATTTATTGGAAACACTGCGTCGGTGTACTTCGCCGCGGACTAGCATAGGATGTCGCACTCCCTCTTCCCGTCTCTCTCTCTCTCGACTCTTCGGCTCCTAAACCCTAACCCAAGTTCTCGCTAAGGATGGCGTTCACGGGGCGGTTGCAGGAGCTGATGAAGAAGTACGGCAAGGTGGCGTTTGGCGTCCACTTCTCCGTCTCCGCCGCAGCCATCACCGGCTTCTACGTGGCCATCAAGAACAACGTCGACGTCGAATCGATTTTCGAGAAGGTCGGCCTCTCGTCCCGCGTCCCGGACAATGATCGCGCCTCCGGCGTGGTCATTTTGGACGGCCATGATTCTTTGTCGCCTAAGCCGCCGAGGGAGCCGCAGCAGCAGATGAAGATGACTAGGACGGCGGAGCTGGCGGCGTCCAGCGGCGGAACCCTAGCTCTGGCTATACACTGCAACAAGGGCCTGTTTCCGGTTAGGGTCCCGATAACGATCGCCTTCACGCCGCCGATGGCCAGGCTCTTGGCGCGGAGGAATCTCCTCAAGCATCACGTATGATCCTTCTGCCCAGAACTGTATCTTTTCTGTCGGAACCTCTTCTCCTTGTGCTTCTTGATTGCAGATGGTTTTAGGTAGTGGAGGTTAAACCATGAAAGCTATCTGCAGTTGTTCCCAAATAACTTTTGTTGTTACCTCCGAATACAAGCAATGGAAAGATTGCATTTTGACTCACCTCTTGCTTCGATTATGAGCTTCAAACTGTCTGCAATAACTCCTAAATAATATTGGTTATTACCTGGCAGTAGGAACAATGAGAAGATTGCATTTTGAGTCGCCTGTTGCTATGATTATGAGAATTTCCTGTGGCTTGTTCAATTATGAATATTTTGAGCTTCCACAGGTCTTTAGATATGAAAACTCCATGTCTTGATTTCCATTTTTTCCTTTGTCATACAAAATTTAGTTTGTCATATTTTGCTTAAGGTAGAACAATTCTTGCTTTTGATTCTTCTAAAGTTTGGAGGCATTATAGAATGAATATAGATTATAGTGATGATCACTGAAAATTCCAAGAATAGGTTAGCTCGTTACAAGCTTTTGCTTGTGTGGGATATTGTTTGTCCGTTAGATGTTGATTCAATGCATAGTAATATTTGAATAGTAACATTTTATGGACCATGTTCTTAAGTTTCTGCCTGTTATATGTATATCCTTGCTACGATGCATTATATCGTATTTCTAAGGCTATTTTTCCTAGCCTTCTCTGGAATTATCGTATTTCTACGATGCATTATACGATGCATTACATCGTATTTCTAAGAATCTTTTTTCTCTGTTCAATTGGATTGAGATCGGTCAAGTTGATACCACCACAATTAAAGGCCTAAAAATCCGATTTGATTAAAATTTGAGCTAATCTCATAACTTAAATATCATCTAAGTATTAAAAAAATATATTATTTCTTAATTTGGTTGATCCATGAATGATTTGGAATTGATCCATGATTAATTTGCATTATTTGATAATTGAATCGGATTATTTACTTTACTAGTTGATATCTATTCTTATAGAACTCATTAATATATTTGAGATAAAAGACATTCTATGAAAATAAAAAGGAAATTTCTGAATCTGGTGTGATATTCACCACGTTTAGGAATTCTTTTTCTGAAATCCAGAATCCAGTGTGCTGTTCACCATGTTTAGGAATTCTTTTTCTGAATTCTTTATGAAATGGGAATGCATAAAACTAAACCATGAGCAAATCCACATAAAATAAATGCTTTATTTTGGGAGACTTGAACAAGTTTTGCTACTACTAAAGTTATCCACAGAAATATATATATATATATATATATATATATATATATATATATATATTTGGAACTTCGCAAGGATATATATATATATATATATATGAACATACCTTTATTTAAAGATGTGCTCTTTGCTGCTCCGAACAAAACAGCCGATTCGTGAACTTCCATTGGATCAGGTCCTGCCTTGGGTTCTGAGTCACGGCGGTGTCTCCTTTCCACCCGCTCTTCCTCTCTCTGCCTTTGCTCCGAGGCGGTGCAGGGAAGATGTCATCTGCGTCGCCGTTGTTGGCCACCAGGTATCTCTTTCTTTCTCATTCTTTTTCTACATGTGCCTCTTTCTCACATGACTATAAGGTGTGGGCCGGCTCTTGATCTGGTGGATTTGACCTGTTGATGATCCACAGAACAATCTGATGTAGCTGCAGAGCTTCACGGAGGCTGAAGATACGCTGAAGCTCCATCACATTGTTCATTGCTCCTTGGATGTGGTAGACGAGAGAGGTTCCCCTTCTTCTTGTTGTTGATCTTTTATTCTTTCTCGAATTCTTCAGTTAAGGGCGTTAGTGTGGTCACAGATCTTGATTGAAAAGGACTTGTATTAAAGAATATTTGATGTTAGAAGAATTTGAAGGGATTGAATGATCTTACTAATTAATAGTATCCCGCTTAGCGTATCAGACACAAGTCACCTGTCTGGTGAGAGTACGAGTAATTTAAAAAATATATATTTATGCAGATAGAGAGGCTTTTTCTTTTCTTAAGTAGATGATATAATGCTCACTGGATAAGTTCTTATTGAGAAAGATTAGAGCTCAGTACTATAATAGATGTGCTGTATCCTGAATGGAGAAACACTTGATCTCATATATTGGATAGACTTTACATCATCCTTTTTCCTGACATTTTAAGGTGGTCCTGGGCCATTGTTGCAGTACAATTAACAACTAAGTTCTTCCTAGGCTAGATGATGTATACGATCATCAGCCTTATAGAATATTAGAGCTTAGCGTTAGAGGAGCTCAAGAACTACATAAGATGGTCATGTACTGATCCTGGATGATAAAAGGATCGATTTAATGAGGCTCATTGCTTGTAGTACCAATTCCTAGGAGTTAGGAAACTTTTTTGTTAAAAAAAAGTAAGCTTGATGATGGGTGCATTTTATGACTGCATAATTGTTGAGTTTTGATGAGTTAACATTTGCATGTACATGACAGGTGCTGGTCAGCTCGAGTTTCTATGATATATGCAAACTAATCTAGGTGAGAACTTGTAAACGAAATATTTGGAAACAAATATTGTTCTAACCTCTATGTCATCCATTATTTTGTTGTCTATTCTTTTTACTCTACATCCAATCCTGGTTATAGCATATGAGTGGTGCACTTTTGCTTTTGCTATTCATCGTTTTCTCTACATCATGAATAATTTCAGGTATTTCTGTCTTTACATATGTACATATTTTGCATATCAGTTTTTTTTCCTGCCCATTTAAAACTCAAATGTGAGTAAAACAATTGCTTCTTGTAAATCTTGGACATAATATCCCTTCCAGATGTATTCATTTTATGATCATATGGTTCATCAGCTTATGGAGGTTCTTCTGTTTCATGACTTCCCATGATAGAATTTCTAGTCTACTAATTCTTCAAGCTGTTTGTTACCTCATTGGATCCACAAGACTTTTATGCATTCCCCACAAGGAGACATCCTTAGTTGTCAGTGAAACTAGACCTTTTTGGAATTGCTGAACCATTTATTCACTTCTGAATTATTGTTACCTATGACAATTATTTATGTTGCATATTCTGATAATTGTTGATGTTGACCTATAGAAGCTTCAATTGTTTTTTATTTTCACATGCAGGAAAATATTTGTTGCTTGCCACACCTAGTGCCGTTACCCTTTTCCAGTCTACTGATTCTCATAATAATGTTTTTATCCGGGATCAGCTAGATAATGATTCAGGGCCAAAGCCCAACAAAAACTCAGTTTAATATGGTAAACTCATTAGTCTTCTTACCTGGTAAATAGTTATGCTTTTTTCATATCTGACATATATTTTCTATTCTTATACCAGGACATAGTCTATATTCCACGGAATGGCGATTAAGTGTAACATGCTAAGAAGGCATGTTCTTTTCGCTTTGTTACTTAAATCCTGATTCCTCTGAAACTTCTTTTAAGGCGCTTTATCTCTATTGCTTAATGTCCTGAAATTTCATTTTATGGGTCTTGCATATTGATTTCTTATACTTGACTTTTTATATAAGAGCTTTTCAAATTTATGCATAATAAAACTATTCTGATTAATTTGCAGGGATAACTAACCTCAGCATGTAATTGCTACCATTGAGTGCTCCATTTCTAGTTTGGCAACTTATTACATTAGATGGGCAGTTTAAGAAGTTTGATTCTTAGCTTAGATTTGACATTTTTTGTGTGACCATCTTTTTCGATTCCAGTTGAGTCTCTGGGCATTTAATAAGTTGATGCAGTGTCAGGAACTAATGTTTGAAGTGTAACAATCTCATTTCTTCAATAATGCTAAATATGATGTTGCTGTTTTAAGTGATGATTGTTTCTCCATATTCTTCATTGAAACTTTCCTGAACTTAGCATATGATATTTCTTGTCAAAGATTATAATTCGGTATCAATATTATGTAACTGAAATATCTCAATTTTGTTTTAATTAAATGTTCTAAAACTGCCAAGTGTTATTTAAGTTGTTTTCCACTGTCTCTTGGCACTCAAATATCTCAATTCTGTTTAAATGTTGAGTACATGCTCAATTCTTGTCCAAAGCTTTGATTAAGCCACCTATTTTTAACTCCGAATACATCCCATATATCCGTGATTAGTGATCTCTAATTACCTTCCTGTGAATTCAATCATCAAGAGTGATGAAATTCCATCACTTTTTTATTTTTCAGAACTTACCAACACAAATATTGTCACCATCTGAGCTCCCAACCATGTGGGCTTCACTCCTAGAAGAAATGAAAATTGGTTTCTGGGAGCACCTAATATCTTATGTCTTTACATGATAATGTTGTACCCATTGTTGTTCTAGTTATTGGTATCACAGTCTCTGCAACTCAAATATTTGACATGCTCATTAGGCATATTAGATGATCACGATTCCCACCAGCGATGTGGAATATTGGGGCCTTCATATGCTCATCATTTTGTTGTCATTGTGTATGATTTATGGTCCCTTGCAGGACTTTTAGGTCATCAGGGTGCACAACAGTTTTCAATGTGACACACACACCATGTGGTTAATGTAATATATTTGTCATTACTTGAGCCCAAAATTGCACCTAGGCTTCAGAAAAGTGCTCAGAAGCTATTATTTTGAGACAGGTAATGACATCTGTTCTCCACATCATAATCCATATTCCACATGCCGTAATTGGTTGTGTTACAAGTTTAAAGAAAATAGCTTTGTTATTTTCTTTAATGGAGCATTCTGGGCTGCAGAAGCAATATGCGCAAAGCATTATAAGTTCTTCTACATCTTTATATTTTTCATTTGCATTATTGGCACTTCATGCCTTTTGCTCAAAGTGGAGCAAGAAATTAACAAAAAGCAGTTTTCAGTTCATGAAACATCACTGTGCCTCGATAATCAACTTGAGTCCTATTGGGATTCCATTTCTTTTATTTCTCTTAAGTCTCTCTGCCTTATCTTATAGTTGTGAAAATTAAATGGAAGTAGAAACAGATATACTCTATCTTTAGCCATCCTTTGTACAAGGCATCTGCAGGTGCTGAAACACTTATTTCAAGCTTTTTGTTCAGCACAATCAGTTAAATTGAGTAGACACCAAATCTACAATATCAAGAATAATGATCCTTTACCAGAATAGTTGGGATCAACAATATTGTTGCAGATCACTTGTTTAAACAGGATAAATATAACATCATAAATGACATTATGACATGTCACTCCTTTCCTTTTGGCAGTGAACAACCCAAAGAGAAGTGGGCCTACATTAAATGAGACATGTCTTGGTATGTTATATCCAAACGAGATTTACAAAGTGTAAGTGCCTCTAACATAAGATTTTTTTTTTTGGTTTACCACAGCTTGTGCAGTTCTTTCAGTATCTATTTGTGAGGTTTGGTGGGTTTTTGTATGTGTTCCATACTTATTGTACCTTGATTTACAGGTATGGTTATCCAACCATCACAAAGGTCAAGTCTCTTATGGTGACAACTGATCTAGATGTGAATTATGCAGATGTCAGAAATGTAAGTTTTTCACACATGATAGTTCGATCCATCATTGTTTGCTAATCTTTGTTAATGAGATGTATTTGAATAATTAATACGTACCGAAAGTAACACCAATATTTAGGCCTTACAACTACACAATTACGGCTTCATTACCATTCATCTTCATCTGGTGCTGATTAAACATTGGTGAAATAATCTGATGAGTAGGAAGCAACAACAGGTGCATCCACAAAAATATTAATAATCTAGATATGCTTCCTTTCAAGTCAATTGTAAATTTGGCCAGGTTGATGACACCTTCACTTAACGGTAGACCAAATATTTCTACTGTTTTATTTTGGAGGTAGAAGTTACAGAACAGCAAGAAATTGGCTTGTTGACAAAGATAACTAACAGGGACAAGTAAAATGCATGCCCTTCTAGAAGAGTCTAGAATATGTGTCAGTATTCTGGAGTTTCTGACCTCGAGCTGAAATGGGTAGTTGACAAGGGTTGTTTATTCTGATTAGCATGCCTTTTTCTGTCTGATTACTAAACATTCTTAAATTTTTTTCCTCCATTAGTTAGATGTTAATATTTCTTTATTTATGGTGTAACTTTGCAGTGATGTGCTTATATACACTAATAAATATTACTTCTTCAATATCTATGGTAGTCTTGAACAGTTGAACAAATGATCATCATCATCATCATCATCATCATTGTAATCTCTCTATTAACTTGCTATCCCATATTGTGATCGGTGCAACATTAACCACAGATTTATAGTGGAATTAAACTTGAGTTTCTCTTGACAGTATCATAATGATCACACACAAAAAAAAAAAATTGCATATGCTTAGTGAATTTGACACTTTCCTACTTCCGCCTTAGAACTTGAAGAATCATGTTTTTCCCTTCATTAGGTAGACTCTAATATTTCTTTACTTATCGGATACCATTGCAATGATGTATATATACCATAATAAACGTTTACTTCTCGGATATCTTTGTTAGTCTTGAACAAACTTGCACTTTGATAGTCATTACAATCCTTAATGATGCAGTTTCCTTTGGTGCTCATTTCCTCAGGAGTCAGAAGTTAAACATTCAAAAACCTTTGCTGGGTAAATGACTCTAATATTCCTCAGGAGTCAGCAGTATCTCCAACTCCCTCGGGTCTGTAACCACTGGGTAAATGACACTTGTTCTGTGTTGACTCGGTGTTTGAAGTCTTATCTAATTGGAAGCATATTGGCAAATCATCTGCGATGTTCCATCTTCTAACCATTCTTATAGAGCAATGTTCTCAGCTCAGTTTACTCGGTTCTTATCCCTGGCTTTTGAATTGTTTTCATTAGAACCATGTATTTATGCTTTTTGTCTGGTAACAACAGCTTGCTCACAGAATCATTCGTCTTTTGTAGCTTATTACGTTTTACAGATTCAAAACTAGGTTTAAAACAGATGCCACCACATAAAGAACAAGAACAGGAACATGAACAAAGTCCAAAGAAATTTTAGGGTTATTGTTCATAATATTTATGTTGTGCATGTTATCACAAGCCCTATCAAGCAAGCCTACATAGGATATGTACACGCGCTCTCACGGCCATGGCTAGTTCAACTCCATACAAACTCTCGACAACACACGCGCCCCCTCTCCGCTCCTCCTCCTTTGCTGCAGCTGTCGATGGGCGTCGTGACCATGTGCAGATCGGCGATCAGACGGTACCGCTTCGTCCTTCGCCGCAGACCCGTCTCCTCCTCCTCCTCCTCCTCGGCCTCCAATAAGACGGCCTCGGGGGGCGGCCGGTTGTTGACGGATCGAGGGGAGGAAGAGGAGGCCGAGGAGGACGAAGCGGCCAAGTCGGCGCTGCTGCTCTCGCTCAGCTGTAGGAGCTGCTCCGCCGCTGCCAACTCCGCGGCGGTGAAGGGACCTCCGGCCGACCGCGAAGGGCTTCGCGCTCCAAGCGGAAGCAGCGGCGGGGGATCGGATCGGGTAAGGGTTCTTCCCATCGTCCTCGAGCAATTCTCGCGTTCGCTTCTTTTTCGTGTGGGTGTTGGTTTTTGGGCGAGCAAGAGCTTCGCGGTACGGTGTCTCGCGGATAATTTCTACGGTCGGTGGTCCTCAATGACCGTTGGGATGGAGTTCTCTCGTTAACAATACTAATTTCTAGAGACCACTCGAGAAAGCTTCTTGAACGTGCCTAGCACGTGAGTGTGAGAACCACTTACTGCATAAACAAACAGCCAATCTGATAGCTTGGACTACTCGATCAGTCAGAAATTTGGAGCATTTCATGTATTGTGTTAAAATATTGAGGTTCTAATACCAAAATATAAGACAGGAAGAGAAGAGGATTTCATCAAATAAATAAGGAGTTGAGGTAGTGATATGACACCAAAACATAGCTTGTGGTATTAAATATATTAGGGTTGAAATAGTACATAGATAAATGCCAGTAAATTCATTAGGTCTTTATCGTAAAAATTATGAATTACTAGTATGAAAGAATGATTGGTCTCACTAAAACAACAAAGATTTGAGGAACCAATGTATTAAAAATAATTATTACGTAAATTAAAGAGAAAAGTGGAGAGACGAGGGATTATATATACATATATGTATACATATATATATATGTATATATATGTATACATGTATATATATGTATATATATGTATACATGTATATATATGTATATACATGTATACATATATGTATACATATATAGATATACATATATGTATACATGTATGTATATGTATATATATGTATACATGTATACATATATATGTATACATGTATACATATATATGTATACATGTATATATATATGGTCAATTTTAGCTCTTATGTTTTTTTGTCATAGTCCCCTTAAACATTTATAGTTTATTCATGTCTAAAATAATCCATATATTTTTAAAAATATGGTATATAAGTCTCTCCCGTCAAGTTTGAGTTAACAGACATCTAAGTATGCTTACATGACATGTTGATTCATAATAAACCATTAATATAATGACACGTGTAATTTATGGTTAAGGTCTATTTTAGCTATTGTGGTTTTGATCGTGGACCTCTTAAGCCCTTATGATTTACTCGTGTATAAAATAACTCTCGCATTTTAAAATACGTAACATATAAGACTCTCCCATTAAGTCTGAGTTAACAGACGTTAGAGTCTACTTACGTGATATATTGATTCACAACATTAATATAATGATATATGTAATTTAAGTTTAAAAAAAAAACTGATGCCTCCATCAATGGTGGGAAGATGCATCGTTGTGGAAGCGACCACCAGCAACAGTATCGAGCTGCTATTGCTTAGCATGGCGTTGTATGCACGCAGCTTCTCTTGCGCTAACAACAAACTCAGGAGCTTTCGGATGTTACTAGCAAACAATAGGGCGCATGCCACTATGGCGCTACTCACCACCACGAATGACACCTGCTTTGATCCCGACAAGTACCACCATACCTTGTAAGCCACCTCCCCCACGAAGCATGACATCACAAAGATAGAGAGCAGGCAGAAGGAGTAGTTGAGCTAGTCCATGTAGCCCTCCTGCACCTACTCACTCTCTCCCCAACCAGCTTGTTAAGGAAGAGGAAGTTGCGGAGGCCGTAGCGATAGACGAAGGCGGAGAGGCAAAGGTAGGAGAGCTCGAAGGTGAAGGTGAGGGAGAGTTGGACCACCACATCATAGGCGTGACGAGTGGGGGTGCAAGAGAGGATGAAGTGGGAGGCGATGGAGACAAAGACGCCATCTAGTGTCAAATTAGTCGACACACATCCACCTGAGGTAGGATCGGAAGCTCTTGAGCTCGTCATCAATGCGAGAGAGGCTGCATGCGTATGACACCATACTAGGCAATAACAACTTGATGCTGTTGTTGGTGGTTGCTTCTACAACAACGCCTCCCGCCATTGATGGAGGTCTAAGTTTTTTTTAATACTTAAATTACACGTGTTATTATATTAATAGTTTATTGTGAGTCAACATACCACGTATATGTTAACTCAAACTTGACGGAAGGGGTTTATATGCTACGTTTTTTTAAAATATAAGGGTTATTTTAGACACGAGTAAATCATAAGGGCATAAGAAATATATGACTAAAACCATATGGGCTAAAATGAATCTTAACCCTAAATTATACATGTCATATTGATAATTTATTATGAGTTTACATGTCACGTAAGGAGACTCTAACGTTTGTTAATTACAAAAGAAACTTATATACTATATTTTTGAAAATATATGAGTCATTTTATATACGAGTAAACCATAAGGGTTTAAGAGGCCCATAATCAAGACTACATAAGCTAAAATGAATATATATATATATATATATATATATATATATATAAAATTACAAAGTAACTTTTTTTTATTTATGTTGTTACGAAGAACAACATAACTAAGTTCATCCCATACGTTGTTGTGCATCTTAGGAACAAAATTGAGTCAAAACAAAAGCTTAATCTTCATCATCTTCCACGAAGAAGGTGGAGGTCAAAGCCAAGTTGGTGGTGGCGGTGGGGGATGGCGACATCTGCTATCGCTGCCATGGCGGTGGCCGTGCTGCTGCTGCAGCTGATGGTGGTACTGTTCACCCCCATCCGCTGTCACTTGTGCAGTCTAGATCTGCAATTGGCCCTCCTCGCGGCCTCGCGCCGTTTCGAGCAACATGTCCCTCACCTCTTCTGCTCGCACCACCAAGTTATTATTCCCTTTCTGTACAAGTTGAGAGGTGTGTTTAGATCTCGCCAAGGATTTAAGCATAGTGTTATGGATCTTCTTATCATGAAATGCTTGGTTGCTACCTCAACTCTGAAGACGTTGAGTACCACTGTTCTCGATGTGGTGACACTGGCATTGGTTACTTCCAGGCTTAGTGCGTTCATGGCCTCCATCAACCTTGCAAACCCTCCTTGCCTGTGCTCACACAGCACCATCAAAAAGAGCTCGTTGGCTGTCAGCTGCTTCACCTCCACCTGAGGCTGCTCAAATCAACACAACAAGCCTCCTAAGTCAGGACGCATCGACAAGCTTGTTCCTGTTGCTCCGAGGAAAGCAATGGAACTCACCTCCATTTGCTGATGCTCGTCGTCGTCCTCGTCGCTCATTGGCTCCTTGCCTCGGTTGATCATCCCATTAGGAACTGGAACGTTGCCTTCGTCCTCCTCCTCGTTCTTTTCCAGCCCGTCCTGCAGATCTCTCACTTGGTTCTGTAACTCCTTCACGTACTCGATGGCGTCTCCCAGTATCGAGGCTTTGTCCATCTGCATAACACGAGCAGATACATCATCACCTCCACCGGGTAGAAAGGAGCATCAAGTGTCTGTGTTAAGGTAATGTGCATTCGACCTTGGTGATCTTTGGAACCATGGACCGCAGGGCATGGAGCCGATCCCGGATCCTCTGCCGCCTCTTCCTCTCGGCCACGAGGTTCTTAGAGTGGTGCCGCTTGCCAGGCCTTTGTTCCTCGTCGTCTTCGCTTCCCCCGGAGGCCAAACCGGGACGACGCTGTCTTCTTGCCTCCCTCTTCGGCGGCTCCTCCTCATCGTGCTCCGCAGATGGCTGCGAAGAAGGCTCGGCGTCGGCGGTGGTCAGTAAGGAGTTGAGGTACGCTACTGTCTCATCGGTGGAAGCGTCCAAGAAGGAATCTCCCTTCTTCGGCCCACAGAAAGGGTTCCATGGGGAGGTGGGAGGACTGGCGGCCGTTGCTTGTGGTGGGAACCATGGCCGGAGATCATGGGCAATGGTGATGTCTGGGTCCCCATTGTTGTTGGCCATGGGCAGGTCAATGGCCGGGCTGTTGCACTCGGAAATGAAGGGCTCCAACATGTGTTGGCTATCTCGAGAACTCCGAAGACAGTTTCCACAGGCATTCCTCACAGATATAATAAATCAAAGAGAATATCGAGGTAATACATATCACCTGTTCTTAAAGAAGAAACTTCAAGTGGGAAGAAAGCAGTTGTTTGTCAGTGTAGGAAAAGATGTGCTATGTCTGAAAAGGCTGCATGCTCCGCTGACACTGTAACTAAAAGTAGCAGGAGAGGATTTCCATACCACAGTGGCAAACTTCCTTCTTCGCATATATGATGACTACTCTCTTTGACTGTACTGAGAGGACGGGAGAGTCATAACGGAAGTAAATGGCGAGAGAAAGGAGAGAGGCTGAGGAGGACCGGAGAGGAGAATCATCTGATGGCTATGGGTAACTGCAACATCATGTGGGGGACAAGAGAGAACCCACATTGTGGCACGACATGTGTTGTCTGAAATGGCCCCAACCTTTGTGGAATATTTTCACAAGGAAAATAGATCATGATGATGTGGTGACAGACAGAAGAAATTGCTTGATTACTTGTTGTTTTGGAGTCAGTTGGGGTTAGGTGAATTGCCATGAAAGTATGTGAGAGATGGTTGGTTCCCAGGAATCGTAGTACTATGCTGAAAACATCACCATTTATCCTTCACCTGGAGCCATTCCATGTCCTCAAAGATCATGAAGCATGAAGGTTAATGAGTATAAATTAAACATTAGAAACTTTGTCATGTCAGGATTATCAAGTGCTAGTTCAGAAGGGCTGGAAAGGAAAGACTGCTACTAGTCTTCACAAGGGCATTGTCCTTAATCATAATTTGAAGTGAAACTAAAAATCATGTAATATGAAGAATGTAACGAAGATGTCGTGATGTAATATTAAGAGGAACGAAACCTATTATTAATCATGAATCCATCAGTTTTTTCAACATAATGATACGAACTTAGCTGGTTTTGCCTAAGTCGTGCGGCACCCTTGCGTGTCCGTCCGCAAAGGTCAGCCTCCCCGAAGACTCCCATTGTCCCTTAGGACCAACAAAAGAGAGAACGGGCAAGAGAGAACGCCTGAATCGGGATCCACAAGCAAACATCTCCGAAAAACACTTCATAGACAATGCAAATTACAAACAGACTTTATAAGCTCTGAACAGTGGCACAACAAAGGGTAAAATGGTCCATTACAGACCGAAAAGCTCTCGCACGTGTCCACATGACACAACCTTTATTTACAAGCCTAAAAAGGCCACCAACCCAACTAAAGTGGGACTATTAAGCCTTCGGCCGCCCCTCTACATTC